AGCCACGGCCTTTCCCTAGCCAGGGACTTGGATGGCATCAGGCCCTGCCCGCAAGAGGGTCGAAGCCAAACAACACCATGAGCAACCTATGTCAAGAGCATAGCAAGGCTGATTTGGACTCTGGTTTAAGCATATTAGTGTTTACACGTTGGCAGCTGCTGGCTCCACTCAGGGACCCGGGAATTCAGTTCAATCCCAGCTGGCGCAGGTGATAACGCCGTTGTCGACTCTGGCTGTTGCGGCGGTCTCCAAAATGTAGCACGTGGGCAGAAACCATCCGGCGTTGCTAGAGGACATGGGGACGTTTGTGTCCCACGAATGCATTTCACCAGGGCAGCAAGGTCCTTTGGGTAAATCCGATCTCATTTATTAGATCAACTAACATTTTGGTTGGTCCGGTACAAGATACGGGATGTATTCACCCAAAGAACCTTGTCTGCCTATGTGCTTAGACCAGCACGGCTACAACCAATACCCATTTCACCAGGGAAGGCACAGCAGGGAAGCCTGCCATGCCCAGGACCATGCGTAGGGGCTAGGAACCATGGATGACCATGGGACGAGCAACCGCCCTCAAGGTTCAGCCTCTTACAAGAGGCCGAGAAAAGCAAGACTCTTCTAGTGGTGGAGTTGGGTGACACCTGCCGGATGCAGTCAATATTGCAAGCCAAGGCAATGCGACCAGGTGATGCCTTCTCCATCAGTAATTAATATGCGGTGGGGGATGGGACGGGAGGATGGATGGGTTTCAGTTACTGTGCAGTTCCTCACCTCAACCCCTGTTCAGCCGGATGCACTGAGCAACTGGACAGCACAGCTATGGCCAAGTCCCGCTCTGCTCCAAATAAGCAGGGAACCTAAACCAGGACCGTGCCAATGGCATGCATTTAATAAAATGTAAATTCCCAGCAAACATTACCTATCGCGTGCGGGGATCTCCAAACTCCTTCATGCTTTTTAAGTGGAGAGAAAGATGGAGACTAAACAGGAAAGTAGGGAGATTTGGATAAAAGAGGGATGAAGGGGTTCGGGATTTGTTTTCAAGGTTTACCAAGGAGTCGTGCAAAATCAGTATTAAACTATGCTTAAGGTGGCCTGTTTCTAAACAGTCCAGTAATCACTGCAGAGATGCCACCGATCATTCCTGGAGTCGTGAAGCATGGCTCAAATGTAATAAAACCGTTTACAGGCAGCAAGATCGTCGCATCCCTCCTCGATTCTTTTCCAGAGCACGGGTGAGATTAAGTTTGGCTTTTCCCAGAAGTTACTACCAGCTGTCCAAATGGGCCAGGGCTTTTTATGGGGGGGTGGAGGGGGTGGGGAAAGGGCCTGGCAAAACATCAAAGCCAAATCAGATCAGGCCTCCTGGTTATTCAACGTGGCATTTGTAATTGCTACAAAGATGTGTCTCCTCCTGCAAACTATATAGATGTTTAAAGAAGGAGATAATAAGGACAAGCTGTCTGTGGCATGCAGGGGGCAGATTGAGCGGAGAGTTATTCATCCATAGTGCTACTTGGTGTGTCATCTGGAAGCAAATGCCCCGGCCTGCATCTTGCTCTTTCTTTTTTTGAAAGGAGATGGTTTAAAAAGAAATAAAACAACAACGGCCTGCAGTCTTTTTTAGCAATATTTGGAGCGATGCATCTGATTGGGGTTACCCGGAGCAGCAAAGCACAGCCCCCGGGGCTCTGGAGGAGATAACAGACATTTCCTGGAGATGTTGAAGGAGCCTCCGGACATTTCAGACCTTCCAGCTAAATTAAATCCTAAAGCAAATCCAGGGACTTGAGTCCTGATTGAATTGCGGTGGGGGAAGGGACAAGACTGACATCTGCCTTGCTGAAACAGAGACGGCTTTACAGATTTGAGGGAAAGTTTATATGGCCGAGGCCTCATCTTTCACCTCTGCGAGTCAAGAGAGCCGCGCCATCCATTGTGGAACAGGGTCCTGCAGGAAGACACACTCTCGTGTGTGCCCAAAGGGGGAAGACACACTCTCGCGTGTGCCCAAAGGGGGAAGACACACTCTAGCCTTGCTGG